GCACTTAATCTTTCCTGCCCGTATTTTTTTTTTATCCACTTTACTATCATCTTTCACTTTCACGACATCCCACCACAGTTTTCCCGCTTATTTTTGGCTTCATTCTCTATTCCTCTTACTTTCATGGGTATCGTTAACTTTTGTTGTAGGTCACGGCTTTGTTTCTTGATTTTTGGCCAACAAAGTTCGAAAGAAAACTAGAAACATCGACGTAACAACTTTTACTGAAAATGGAAACGATTGAACAGTGAGCTCACATTGAGAACAATAATCTCTACATTAGCGGTACAACACAAGCCGACAATCTACAGAAGTTAGCCTCTTTATATTAGACGTGATTTAATTTGGATAAATAACACGAGAGAACTAGAAAATAAATAGAATTCCCTTAACGTGCAAAATTCTGCATATCTCGCTTGGTAACCATTAAGGGATCCGATATTAATACGGTTAGATCAGCTCGAACGCCAAATGAAGACGAATTTATTAAGGTTCCAAATCTTTATACCTTTTGCTGTTGACAGACCTCAAGCAATGCATTTTCCGATATTTTTTGTTTTTGATTCTATAGAACCAGTCCCCAATGTTTAATGAAGGATGATCTTCACTCGCTCAAAGAGTTTCTTCACCATTGATCTTAGAAAGCGGTTGTATACCACTGACAGTTTCCATTTCTGAAATGGTTTTGATTCTGACGAGCCAATTAAAGAACATGTCTCAAGTTCTCAGGTAAACATTTTGGTGTCGTAGCAATTTTCGGTGTCAGTGGAACAGCCTATTTTATGTTCAATTTCTTTTTTTCTTCTCCTGTATTTAATTTGTTAGAGTTGGTACATACGTCGACGTATCTGAAGTGTTTAGTATTTACTTATTTCACATACGGAATTGTTTTATGTATTCATGGTAGGCGGTATCACTGCTTTCGTTCCAGTTTTAGATAAATAGTTTCTGTTTTGTGAAAATAGTCAAATGAACAAGAAAAAAATAGAGGCAAATAATAACGAAATAATTCAGGTAAAAGAACAACTGCAAAGAAATGATGTAAAAATTAAAAGAAAACCTTGAAAGAAAGAGAATAGCAGTCAGGTGAAATAAATAGAATTTCTTTTATCGTTTGTCAAAATAATCATAAAAATAAACAAGTAAATGAAAATAAGTTTTTCAAGAATTATGCTTCATAAAAACATTTACTAAATAACGAGAAAAATGGATAAACTATTTTTTAATACTCGTCTGTTTTTTGGGGGGTTTTTTTGCTCCTTTTTTTTTAATAGTTTTTCTTACTTTTTTTTTAAATATGGAATACGAAATTTCTGCACTTAGCATGAAAAATAGTGACAGCTGAAATTTTAGCACATTTTGCATTCAACATATTAAATTCTTTCTTTTCTGGCGTAGATTTTATTTGTCCCTTTTGTAATTATTTGTTGCCATATTTGTTTTTGCTTAAGCTTCCCCCTGAACAATTAAGCGGGCACAATCCCGTGCACATTTGTTATTCAAAATTCCACCTTTTAATATCTATCTCATTCTGTGCATATCTATCTATCCCATTCTGTGCATATCTATCTATCCCATTCTGTGTGCATATCTATCTATCTATCTATCTATCTATCTATCTATCCCATTCTGTCTATCTATCTATCCCATATCTATCTCATCCATCTGTCCATCTATCCATCCATCTCATTCTTTGCATATCCATCTATCTATCCATCTATCCATCCATCCATCCATCTAAATCCATTCTTCATGATCTATCTATCTATCTATCTATCTATCTATCTATCTATCCATCTATCTCATTCCCTTGCATCTATCCCATTCTGTGCATATCTATCTTCCATCTATCTATCTATCCATCTCATCTATCTATCCCATTTTTGCATATCTATCTATCTCATTCTGTGGATATCCATCTATCTATCCATCTATCTCATTCTTTTTTATCCATCTATCTCATTCTGTGCATATCTCTATCTATCTATCCATCCATCCATCCATCTATCCATCCATCTCATTCTTTTGCACATCTCTATCCATCTCCATCCATCCATTCTTCCCATTCTTTGCATATCCATCCATCTGTTGCACATCCATCTCATCCATCCATCCATCCATCTATCCATCCATCCATCCCATTCTTTGCACATCCATCCATCCCATCCTTTCCATCCATATCCATCCAAATCCATCTATCCCATTCTTTGCATCCATCTATCTATCTCCATTCTTTTATCCATCCATCTATCTATCCATCTATCCATAGGTTTTTGTATCTATCTATCTCATTCTTTTGCTTTCCTCCATCCTTGCATATCCAATCTATTTCTCTCATTCTTTTTATCTATCTATCTCATTCTGTATCTATCTATCTATCTATCCATCTATCTATCTATCTATCTTCTATCTATCTATCCCATTCTGCACATCCATCCATCCCATCTATCATATCCATCTTCTATCTATCTATCCATCTATCCATCTATCCATCCCATAGGATCCATCTCCCATTCTTTGCATTCCATCTATCCCATTTTGCAATCTATCTATCTATCCATCCATCCATCTATCCATCCATCTGATCTCATTCTTTTGCATATCTATCTATCCTCATTCTGTGCATTCCATCCATCTATCCATCTATCTATCTATCTATCCCATTCTATCTATCTCATTCCTTTGCATATTTCTATCTTCATCTATTCTATCTCATTCTTTGCACATCTATCTATCCCATTCTTTCTATCTATCTATCTATCCATCATCTGTCCATCCCATTCTTTGCATATCCATCCATCCCATTCTTTGCATATCTTCTATCTATCTATCTATCTATCTATCTTGTCTTTGCATATCTATCTATCATTCCCTTTTAATCCATCTATCTATTCTTTTTTTTTTCCATCTATCTATCTATCCATCTATCCATCCATTTGCATATATCTATCACATCCATCCATACCCATCCATCTATCCATCCATCCCATCTATCTATCCATCTATCTCATCTTCTATCTATCTCTATCTATCTTATCTATTTATCAATCTATCATCCATTCATCTATCCATCCATTCTATTCTATCCCATTCTTTGCAAATCTATCCCATCACAATCTATCTATATTCTTTCTATCTATCTATTTCTTTGCATATCTATCTATCCCATTCTGTGTTATTTCTATCTATCTCATCTTTCCATATCTATCATTCTTTGGATCTATCTATCTATCTATCTATCTATCTAATCTATCTATCTATTCTCATGCATATCTATCTATCTCATTCTTTGCAATCTATCTATCCATCTATCCAAATATCTGAGCATCTCATTCTTTGCATATCTATCTATCTATCCAATGTCCATCTCCATCTATCTATCTATTCTTTGCATATCTATCTATCTCATTCTGTACATATCTATCTATCCCATTCTGTTAATCATCTATCTATCTAATATCTATCCATCTATCCCATTCTTTTGCATATCTATCTATCTCATTCTGTGCATATCTATCTATCTATCTATCTATCTCATTCTTTGCATATCTATCTATCTCATTCTTTGCATATCTATCTATCTATCTATCTATCTATCTAAATCTAATCTATCCCATTCTTGTATCTATCTATCTCATTCTGTTTATCTATCTATCTATCTATCTATATTTGATTCTTTCACATCTATCTATCCCATTCTGTTGTCAATCTATCTAAGGATATCTAAATCTATCTATCTATCTATCTATCTATCTCATTCTTGCATTCTATCTATCTCATTCTGCATAAAATCTATCTATCTATCTATCCATCTCATTCTTTGCATATCTATCTATCTCATTCTGTGCATCTATCTATCTATCTATCTCATTCTTTTGTAATCTATCCCATTCTGGATCTCCATCCATCTAATCTCTCTATCTATCTATCTATCTATCTCATTTTTTTTCTTTCTATCTATCATTCTTTGCATATCCTATCTATCTATCTATCTATCTATCTATCTATCTATCTCATTCCTTTTTTTATCTATCTATCTCATTTCTGTACTATCTATCTATCCCATTCTGTGCATATCTTCTATCTATCTCCTATCTATCTATCTATCTATCTCATTCTTTCATATCTATCTATCTCATTCTGTTAAATTCTTTTGCATATCTATCTATCTATCTATCTATCTATCTATCTATCTATCTCATTCTTTTCTCTATATCTTCTCCATCCTCCAATCCATCCATCCCATTCTATCACATCTATCCATCCCATTCTGCATCTATCTATCCATCCCATTCCCTGTATCTATCTATCCCATTTCACATCCATCCATCTATCTTCCATCCATCTATCTATCCATCCCATCCTTATCTATCTATCTCATTTCTATCATCCATCTATCTATCTATCTATCTATCTATCCAATCTATCTCATTCTTTTACATATCTCCATCATTCTGGCATCCATCTATCTATCTATCTCTATCTATCCATCTATCTCATTCTTTTGCATATCTATCTATCTTTCATTTCTATCTATCTATCTATCTATCTATCTCATTCTTTGCATATCTCCCTATCCCATTCTGTACATATCTATCTATCTCATTCTTTGCATATCTATATTTCATCCATCTATCTATCTATCTATATATCTATCTAATCCCATCTCCTGCATATCCATCTATCCCATTCTGTGTATTTCCCATCTGTGCATCCATCCATCCAACATCCATCCATCTATCCATCCATCTATCTTTTCAGGCATCTATCTATCCCATTTATTCATTCCATCCATGATTCTATCCATTTCTATCTTTTTAAATATCATCCATCGTCCATTCTCCATTCTATTTCTATATCTCATTCTTTGCATATCTATCTCCCATTCTGTGATTTGTTTCCTTTTATCTATTTTTCTTCTATCTATCCTCATTCTTTTTGCACATCCATCTATCCATTCTGGATCTATCTATCTATCTCATTCTTTGAGTGCATATCTATCTATCTATCTATCTATCTATCTATCTATCATGTCATTCTATCTATCTCATTCTTTTGCATATCCTATCCCATTCTGTGCATATTCTATCATTTCTAATTCTATCTTTATTCGGAAATTTATCTATTAAATAACCTTTTTTGCAATATTTCCAATCTATATCTATTTCAATCTTTGCATATCTATGCTTGCATATCTAATATTCTCTTCTATCTATCTATCTATCTCATTCTGAGTATATCTTCTATCTCTCATTTATCTATCTATTATGTATATCTAACCATGTGGGCTGATTGTCGTGTTTTTGTCCAACAACCAAATCCATAGGTTCTTTTAAAATTTAATAGTAAAATAAAAAGAAACGTCTAAGGATTAACTATTTCTTTTCAAAGAGGCATTTCTACTATTTGTGCTATCATATTCTTAGCATCAATTTCTTGTCTTTGATTTCACGAAGATACTTTAGTTTTTTTTTTTTTTTTGCATATTTCCATTCAAAGCATGACGAAAATAATTTTGCAGTTCGACATAGATTGGATTGCTAGAAACGTCTTCAAAATTTATTTTCCAAGTCTATTTTCACACAAGAAATTTTAAACAAACATTGGTGAATTTTCAAAAAAAAATATCTCTTATTTTTATTTTTTGTCAATTTATAAACTTTTTATTATCAGTTATAATTCACATACACATCGAATTAAGTTCAACGCGTCAATAAAAATGCACTTACTAACTATTCTTTTACGAGTTTAAGTAAATTAGTTAAATTTTCTTTACTACTCCCAAAGTTTTTTTTTTTTTGGCACTTCCTCCAACACAATTTTCTTCGTTTGTAACTACAATCTAAATCTCCTTTAACCAACTGCTCCCGTTATGCATCATTTTTCTCTATATCATATCTTTTTTACTGGACATCCTCATGTTTAAACTTAATAATAATAATAATCAAATAATAATAATATTCATAATTATTTTTACTTTTCCATTCTTTAATTGAGTTGATATTTCATATCAACTTTTCTTGCAATGATGAGTCAAGTTTTCTGTTTTTCTTCAAAAAACTTTCGTGATTTCATCTTTTACGGAAAGCGAAAATTGCCAATATAAAATCCTGCTCTGTGAATATTCTCTTAGGAAACTTTCATTTATCATTATGTACGAGTCTTGTCTGTAGGAAGCTTCTTGCCTTAAACGTCTATTAGTAACGTCTATCAACATAATCTGTGCAATATTTAGCAATATTAATTTTACCCAGGTGAATGTCTTCCAATCTGTATTGATTTTCAAAAAGAAAAAAAAAACTCTTATTTTTATTTGAATATAAACTTTAGATTTTGAATTAGTTCATCAATATGTGCACTATATTAGGTTTTACGATAAAGTTTTCTCACTAGAATTGGTTTAACCAACTGCGGTTGGCAATCATTTTAAATCATATCTTTTTTTACTGGATGCATGTTTCAATCTTATCGCTGCTCAATGGCAAATATTCAGATTATTTCCATTCTTTAATGCTACCATATCAAAGCATAAAACCCGCCTAACCCGCAGTTGGTTAAACCAATTCTAGTGAGAAAACTTTATCGTATAACCTGATATAGTGCACATATTGATGAACTAATTCAAAATGTAAAATTTATATTCAATAAAAAAGCTTTCTCTTGAAAATCAATACATTGGAAAATCTTTCACCTGGGTAAATTAATATATTATATTGCACAGATATTATAACAATATTAAAAACAATTTCTCTCTCTCTCTCTCTCTCTCTCTATATATATATATATATATATATATATATATATATATATATATATTTATTATTTTTGGATATTACATCAAAAGCCTGTAAAAAAACTTAAAACAAATGCAATCATGGTTCGATTTAGAATGTGATGTGTTAATGCGCATCGGAACATGATTGCATTTGAGTGGCGTTTTTTCACGTATTTTTGATGTAATATCCTAAAATAAATAATATTGCTCTATTTTTGTATTGAGCCTCTTTTAAATTGAATGTTACAAACATCGGAATTGAACTGTATTCGTTCTCATTTTATATATATATATATATATATATATATATATATATATATTCTCTTTCCCTGACAAAAAAAAAATATCAAAGAAAAATTAACTTTTTCTCACTTTATATTTCTATTTTCTTTCTCAGTTAATCGTTCTTTGTCATCGTTTCGTTGTCTGCCAAACATTTTCCTCTCCCATCAATTGTGTATTCATTTTCAAAATTTTTACCCGTTTCGTACGTTTTTGACTCCTGCCCAACACCGATCGTAATTTATCACATAAGTCTCTTAAAAACCAACCAATTGTTTCCTCCTAATGAGATCGATTGGCTGATCGATGTAAGTCAATTCGTCGGTAATTATGACCAATCCAATTAAGCCACCCATCTTACATCCACTATCGATTATTGCACCGTCTCGTCTCCAACTTTGCCACCCAATCCTGTAATTAGTTTCATTTTCTCCCTTGTATTT